CCGGAGGCGGTTTGCTATTTTGGGGCGAAAGTCTGTGCTGTCCCCACTCCCCACCCCCATGATCAAAGCTTGTCTACCTTTTGGGTGTAAAAACATCCTTTTCAAAATAAGCGGTTTTTCAAAATTGTTCACTTGGCAAAGTAAGATGTTGGTGCCTTTGGAGGGACACGTTGGCGCGGGGCCTGGGGGTGACCCAGAGTCTGGCAGGCCCCCCAGCACTCACGCCCCGGCCAGCGGGCTCTCACCTTGCAGCCCGCCAGGTAGAAGTTGGCGACGTTGCTTGGCGAGAGCCCGTGGACCATGATGGCCACGCACCTGTGGAGAGAGAACTGCTGGTCCCGGGCCCAGGCTGCGCCCCGCCCCGGGGGCCCGGAGGGTCCCGCTCAGCCCCAGACGGCGACAGAGCCTCGGGGGGGACACGGACACCCCCACATGTGGCCAGAGCACCCCCTGTTTGTGGGCCCAGGGGGAAGGCTGTGTCCCCACGGGCATCGGCTCGATGGGCAATGTGGGCGCTGGTCTTTGAACGTTTCTCTCCTGTAAGGTCGGCATGGACCACGGGTAACATTTGGAAAAATAACCCGATTTACAAGAAAGAACAAGGCTCCGTCAGAAATGAGTGGGAGGAAGGGTCAGTGGGGGGAGGGGGCACATGTAATACTTTGAACAATAAAGTCTAAGCCCGGCCGCGTGGCTCCGTGGCTGAGCTTCGACCTGTGAACCAGGAGGTCAGGGTTCGATTCCCGGTCGGGGCACAGGCCCAGGTTGTGGGCTCGATCCCCAGTGTGGGGCGTGCAGGAGGCAGCCGGTCCATGATTCTCTCATCATTGATGTTTCTCTCTCTCTCCCTCTCCCTTCCTCTCTCTGAACTCAATAAAAATATAGTTTTTAAAAATTTTAAATCTAATAAAACAAAACCCCCAATAAAGCTTAAAAAAACAAGTGCTGGGGCCCTAACCGGTTTGGCTCAGTGGATAGAGCGTCGGCCTGTGGACTCAAGGGTCCCGGGTTCGATCCCGGTCAAGGGCATGTACCTTGGTTGCGGGCACATCCCCAGTAGGGAGTGTGCAGGAGGCAGCTGATCGATGTTTCTAACTCTCTATCCCTCTCCCTTCCTCTCTGTAAAAAATCAATAAAATATATAAAAAACAAAGAAACAAACAAACAAAAAAAACACAAGTGCTGGGGTGGGGGGGTAGTGGCCAGGGAGAGATCAATGGGGGAAAAAGGAGACTAATCTAATACTTTAAACAATGAACAATTTTTTAAAAAATTAAAAAAATACAAAAGAAAAAAGAGAGATGAGCGGGAAAATGAGCCCTGACAGGTGGGAAACGCCTGCTTGTCTTCCCGTGACCAGCGTTGTGTGTGTGTGTGTGTGTGTATGTGGGGGGGGGGGGGGCGCGCAGGAGGCAGCTGATCAATGAATCTCATCATTGATGTTTCTATCTCTCTCTCCCTCTCCCTTCCTCTCAGAAAGCAATCAATCAATCAATCAATCAATCAATAAAAGAAAGTGGTGCCTGGGCCGACACAGCGAGCCCTCAGAGGCAGCCCTTCAGAAGCGACCTTGTCACGGTCCCCGTGGTTGGCGCTCCTCCTCCGTGGCGGTGCCTCCCGGGTCGCTCACCCCGACTGTGCTGCTCCTGAGCCACAGTCCCCGTTCCACCAACACGTCCGGCCCCGGGGACGGAGCTGGGCCATCGGGGAAACTGAGTCTCACACCAGGAGGGGCTTCCTGACGGTGGGCCATTCTGGCCTGTATCGCCCACGTCATCAGCGCTCCTGCCCCCACACCTGGTCCCCCCGCCGTCCAGGGCAGAGCCTGTGTTTATGCGGGTTTGGTAGCTCACACCTCTGCGCCCCATAAGCCGGTGTCAGGCCAGGGGCGCCCTCCCTCAGCCCTCCCTGCATCCCTCCCCGCCCCCGGACTCCGCGTGGCCCTGGGCCCAGCATTGCCCTCTGCCTAGAGAGCTGGCCACCCTCCCACGGCCACCTCTGAAACAGGTTGCTGAACTGGAGGGCATGCGCGGAGGCCAGCACCCCCAGCACCTCATCCAGGCTCAGGTCCACTTGGCTCGTGTACAGGTTCTTCAGGGCCGTGGCGAAGGCTGGGGGGCAGCGAGAGAGAGAGAGAGAGAGAGGGAGAGCCATCGGCGTGGGGTCTGCACCCCCTCGCTCGCAGCGCCCTCCCTGCGGGATCTCCCTCCGCCAGCAGGCGGGACGGGAGCCGGGACGGGAGCCGGGACGGGAGCTGGGACAGCGGCCACAGTTGCTGTGTTTGTTTGTTTGTTTGTTTGTTTGTTTGTGTTTGAAGTCTGGGCGGCTGTTGTCTCCGTGGCCCCCTCAGAAAATGAACACAGCCCGGCAGGCGTGGCCCAGGGGCTGAGCATCAACCTAGGAACCAGGAGGTCAGGGTTCGGTTCCCGGTCAGGGCACAGGCTGGGTTGTGGGCTCGATCTCCGGTGTGGGGTGTGCAGGGGGCAGCCGATCCGTGATTCTCTCTCATCATGGACGTCTCTCTCTCCCTCCCGCTCCCGTCCTCTGTGAAACCAATAAAAACATATTAAACAGAAGAAAGGCCGTGAAGCCGGGCGCAGGTTACCGATCTTGGTGACCAGGGGGTCGTTGATCCTCAGCGAGATGGTGAGCCTCTTCACGGCGGGCCTCTCCCGGGCCTTCCCGGACGGCGGCCCTGCGGGAGGACGCGG